GTAGGATATTGGATATTCTTGGGTTAGTCAAAGATCATAATATTGGGATTTTGTTTCTTTTGGAAACTAAACTCCCTTCCGAATTGGTTGTCAATTGGGCTAGAAAACTTGGTTTTTATGATAATGTAGTGGCAAATGAAGTAGAAGGTAGATCACGAATTATGGTTTTGTAGAATCCATACATATTTTCAGCCAATGTGTTGAACACCAGTAATCATATGATAACTGTTCAGGCAACACGGTTATGCAATGGATGCATGCACCTTAACTGTTTCAGGTGTCTATGCTTTTAACTCTATTATTCAGAGAGCATCTATTTGGGATTAGATGAGAGATATATGTGCAGCTACCAAGGGTCTTTAGTTTTTGGTGATTTCAATGCGATATTAGACAATTCTGATAAGATAGGTGGCAAGAATTCACTACCACAGATGCACATACTTTGACTGACTGTGCGTTTACTAACTTAGGCTCAACAAGGGGTTGGTTCTCTTAGTCTAATAGCCAACTTAGGAGAATATGTATTAAAGAACGTCTAGACCAGGCATCGGCAAATATGGAATGGATTTTATCTTATCCAGAATCCAAGGCATCGGCAAATATGGAATGGATTTTATCTTATCCAGAATCCAAGGTAGAGTTATTTCCTAAGAGTAATTCTGATCATTGCTCTTTGCTGGTAACTTTATTAACCTGGATTCCGGATGGACCGAAACCATTCAAATACTTCACGACTTGGCAACTATTTCGGGGGTTTATAGATGTTATCTCTGATTCATGGAAACTTAGAGCCGAGGGCATGCCTATATTCCGTTTTGTGACAAAGCTGAAAAAGCTAAGAAGCGTGTTAAGATATTGGAGTAGATGCTCTTTTGGTCATATGGGGAATCAAATATCTAATATTCAACAACAATTATTGATTCTACATGATAATTTTAATCGGGATCCTTCCATTGAGAATATGATGATGGAAGAAAAAACATGCACACATTCCCTACAACACTTACGTTCACATGATGAGAGTATGTGGAAACAAAAATCTCGTCAGACTTGGTTAAAGGATGAGGATTCAAATACACATTTCTTCTATTTGTTCACCATCATAAGAAGAAGAAATGACATGCTCAACCTCCTCAAAAATACAAATGGGGTTTCTTTAACTTCTGAGCCAGAAGTCCAAAATTACATGATTGGATATTTTGAAGAATTACTGGCACAAGAAAGTAATATTGATCTTAGTATAGTTGATCATTTTCTTCAGTTTTCAATTCTTAATGAAGATCTGCAAAGGGAAATTATAAAGGAGGTGTCTATAGAGGAAGTAAAAGCCTGTATTTGGTGAATGAACAGTAAGAGTGTACCAGGCCCATATGGTTTTATGGTGGAATTTGATAAGTTTAGTTGGGAAGTAATCAAGAAGGATTTGTTTTTGGCATTGCATGACTTTTTCAAAAAAGGTGAATTCCTTAAGCAGATAAATTCCACATTCATTTGCCTTATCCGCAAAGTCAATCCCCTTGCCTTATGAAGGACTTCAGGTCAATTATTGTGTAATGTTCTTCACAAAATCATTAGCAAAGTTATTTCGAATAGATTGAGGGAGGTGTTACATACTCTGATTAATTCCAAACAAACTGATTTTTGAAAAAGGAGATTGTTCACAGATAACATATTGATGGCTAATGAGCTTATTTCATTATGTCATAACACTCAATCAATCCTAAGATGTGTTTGTAGTTGGATCTAAGTAGTGCCTATGATTGGGTTTCTTGGGATTTTGTTCTTGTGAGGTTGCATGGTTTGAGTTTCCCAGTTTGTTTTGTTTCTTGGATTCGCCATTGTATTAGTATTCCTTCATTCTCGATGCTTCATAATGGTTCCCCAATGAGATATTTCAGAGGAAAAAGAGGCTTACGACAAGGGGGGACCCTTTATCTCTGTATCTTTCCTTGTTGGTAATGGATTTCATGAGTAGGCAGTTGGATCAGGCAATAATACAAGGTACTCTTCCTGTGTCTTTTCCTTTTGGTTATGACTTTGGGGTATCACATATATTTTATGCCGATGATGCAATTATTTTCTATGAGGCTTCTTTAACTACTGCAAAACAAATGAATTATATTATTTGTATTTTTGGAAATACCACAGGGCAAAATTTGAATGCAATTAAAAGTAAGGCTTTCCTTTTTGGAGTTTCCATGAATGCAAAACATTTGATCTTGAAGGAATTAGGGTTTGGTGATGGTTCTTTTCCAGTAAGATACTTGGGAATGCCTCCGTTCCATGGTAACCCGAAGCACCATAATTGTTGGAATCTCGTGGGGAAAATTCATTAGCAAGATAAGAACATGGCAGACTTTATCCCTCTCTTATGCAGGTTAATTACAATTGTTGAGATCAGTGCTAAATGCATCGGGCACTTTTTTAGGTTCTATCATTTATACTACCAAAGCGCATATGCAGCATGTTAGAGCAGCTTCAAAGAAATTTTCTATGGGCTGGTACATCTCATAAGAAGGGGGTTCACTTGGTAAAGTGGAAAAATGTATGTTTGTCAATGGAAAAGGGGGGACTTAGAATTCATGATATTATTAAGTTCAATAATGCTGGCATGATGAAATTGGCATGGAGGATTTTGGCTAAGCCTTCCTCTTTCATAGCTCATTTCTTTAGGCACATGTACTTTAGAAATTGTTCAATCTAGGAAGTTGACATGAAGTCCTGCTCTTATGCATAGAAGGGGCATTCAAATAGTGTTGTCTCTCTTGCGCCACAATGTTCGATGAATAATTGGGGATGGAAGGACAAATAATTTTTGGACAGATCCATGGTTATCAGAAAAATCTATTTTAAAATCTTATGGTTCTCGTATTCAGAAGGACTTGAGAAGTTTTGCCAAGAATAGGGTTATAGATTATTTAAATGGTTCTCCACAATCATGGTATTTCCCTACCCGTGCACCAGGACAAGCTCTTAGAACATGGAATCAATGAATTAGAATTTGGAAGGAAGTGGAGGTTGCTTCAATCCCTCTAAAACCCCAACCTGATTTTTGGTATGGATTAATTTTGCAAATGGAATGTTTTCTGTTAAAGAGGCATGGAATTTCATCCGTCGTAAGGACTCTTCTCAACTGGTCTTCAAGGCACTATGGTCTTTTAAGTGTCATCCAAGGGCTAAATAGTTATCGTGGTTGAGGCTTCATCATCGTCTTCCTACCTGTTCTCTCATGCAAAGAAGGAGAATCACCTTTGTTTATGTGTGCTCTTTCAATCATCTTAATGATGATAATATTCACCATATTTTGCTTGAATGTGTTTTCTTGCAGGGGATTTGAAGGTCGATAGTATGATAATGTGGAAAAATGTTTTATTACAGATTGTTTTATTGAAGTTACACTACGGAAATGGTTAACATTCAGGTTCAAGTCTGATGATATTATCAACACTTGGCATTCTCTCTTCTTCACAACTATCTGGGTGATCTAGGAGGAGTGGAACCACCGTATGTTTCAAAAAAGGACACCCACTCTTGCGAAGTTGACTCAAAGGATCACCTACCATGTTCATGATTTGGCAGATGCTAAGGCATGGACTTACACATCTCAGAAAAGGCAATTACTGAAAATTTACGACTTACGTGGCAGCAACAAAGGATCAAGTTACCCATATGGGCTTTACTAGATTCACAACGTTTTAAGCTAAATATTAATAGGTCTTCTATTCAGAATCCAGGTCAAGCTAGTTGTGGGGGCATCTTGAGACAAGATGATGGATCTTTCGTTGCTAGTTTTTGGTTCCTCTTGGAATTGCTTCCAATAATTATGCAGAATTTCAAAGTTTACAAGTGGGTGTTAATTTAGCCACTCAAATGAAATGTCTTTCTCTGCAAATTGAGAGTGATTCTTCCTTACATGTCTAGGTCATACATGGTAGGTATAAAGCTCCATGGGCTCTTCATATCATAGTTGCTAATTGGAAGTCTAAACTTGAGAATCATTCATGATCCATTTGCCATGTTTACCATGAGGGTAATATGGTTACCGATGTTATTGCCAAAAAGGCTTCAATTTTTGCAGAGGCCTCCATTTGGTGCTCTAGGCCTCCAAATTTTTTTAACCTTCTTTTACTTCATGATGTGGCACAATTACGATATTATAGGGTTGTAAGATAGTACAATGTAATTTTTTCCATCTTTTATTAATAAAAAATGGGTAGAGGGTCTTCTCCCTCACTTGTTTACCCAAAAAAAAAAAACAGACGGTCCATTTTCAAGATTTTTATGTATTCATAGATCTACTTGATTTGAACTATTTTTTGAGTCTAAAATTTATAATTAAAAATAAAATAAATTCTCAGGCTATCCTAAGAAATTTTGATACCAAAATTACTTACCTTTAAATATTCGGTGTGGTTTCTATAAGGTTGGAACCTTAAACAATCCAATTAAGGCGCAACTCCAAATTTTATCATAACATGTAATTTTATTGTAATATTTTTTAGGATTATCTAAAAAACTATTTTCATATTTAATTAGAAAATTTTAAACTCCAAAAATGGTTAAAATCAAGTAGATCTATAAACATATGAAAATCTTCAAAATGGATGGTCTAGATAATGTGTTGCAAGATGCACTATTTTTGGGACTCATTTTTTTTTTTTTAATATTATTACATCTCAAGATGATTAATTAGAATGTTTTTCAATATTAAAACAGCTTTTTCGATAGATTTTTGATGTGCATATGTGATTCTACATTTTAAGGTTCTACATTTTAGTGTTGCAACCTTATATAAACTTTTCCCTTAGCCTGTTACCATAACATCCGTTATAACGGTATAATTACGTTGTCCTCTCTGTCTTGGCAGGTCACGAGCCCATCTCTCCCTCTCTCTCTCTCTCTCTCATTCTTGTCTCCGTAACTTTTTACAGCCTCGGTCTGTGGTCTGCTCCGCAATAATACCACCTCAACCTTGGCCCACCTATCTCTCTCTCTCTACAAACCCAACTCTCTCTCTCTACAAACCGACCTCACGTTCTTTCTCTAATACTCTTCGGTCTCTATCCTTCTGAGTTTGCAAACCCTCGTTTCTCCTCTTTCTCAGTTGCAGAAAGTCTTCAAGTACCAAACCAGAGCCATGGCTCGAGTGATTGGGCTCGCCATGTTTGTATCCATGACTCTCCTGATCCTTCTGTCATTTGAATTGGATGCTCAGGCTGAGGCCGAGGTCTCGAGCATGGGCTCGTCCATGGACGCGCTCGAATGGGGCCTTTCGAGCTACAATGGCGACGAAATGAGTTCTGGTTTTGATGAAGTAGGAGAAGAAGGAGAATGGGCTCGAAGGTCTCTTTATTGGAGGATAGTCCATTACTATATCAGCTATGGTGCTCTTTCAGCTAACAGGATCCCTTGTCCTCCAAGGTCTGGAAGGTCTTATTATACCCACAACTGTTACAAGGCCAGGGGCCCTGTTAGGCCTTATCACAGGGGTTGCAATGCCATTACAGGATGTAGCAGGGACGTCTCTTAGTCTTTTCATTTTTTCCACCTCTCTCTCTCTCTCTCTAGATGCTGCATTGTGGCTTGATGTTCTCTCTCTTACCCACCACCTGCATTCATAGGTTTAATTTCTTTATTTTCTGCATTTTTTTTTCAATCTCTTTTTCTCTGCAAATCCATGGTTTTACTCTGTGCCCCTCTCTCTTGCATCATGGGTTTATCTTTCAGATAAACCTCTATTACATTCTCTCTCTAATACTGAACGATCTAATGTGTTATGAGAATGCCCTTTATTTATTTCAGGCTTTCATTTGATGGGTTAGCTGGGTTCGAACCCATTATCTTAAGGTTGCAGCATTGAGTGGGCTGCTGTTGAGCTGTGGGCTTGAAACTTGTATTGCTTATATTTATTTGATAAAATAAATGATTGTCTGCATTGTAGTGTTTCCGGATAGAGGAAGCCCATGTGGTTCTCTTTCATCTTATGAATGTGAGATTTATTTTCCTGGCATTGGTCTGGATTTTTGGGGGATGGTTTTAGCGCTTTGATTTTGAAGTGGGGAGAAGCTTTCAGGAAAGGGCAAATGCATTGCCTTTTTTATTCTTTTATGGGTGTCAAATTTTATCACTTTGGTGGGATTTGGATGTATTGGGTTCCAATTAAACAATATTAGTGAATAAAATTTGGAAAACGTTTACATAAGGTTGCAACTTTAAAATGTAGAATTGATCAACTTGACACGAAGATGTATGAATATGAAAAATCCTTTGGAAAAATGTTGTTTTATTGTTGAAAAATCCTTTAATTGATCATCTTGACACGAAGATGTATGAATATGAAAAAAAAAAATTGAATCTCGTATATAGTGCATCTTCCAACACATTGTTTAGACTGTTCATTTTCAATATTTTTCATATGTTTATATATCTACTTGATTTTAATCATTTTTAGAATTTAAAATTTTATAACTAGCTAGGAAAATAGATTTTCAAATTATCCTAAGAAGTTTTTATACCAAAATTACATGGGATGAAAAAATTTGGAGATGCGCTCTAATTGGATCGATTAAGGTTGCAACCTTGTAGAAACTAAACCCATAAAATAGTATGGATCTTTATAAAAACCATACCCATAAAATAATACGGATCTTTAGCAAATATTTGCCTTTTGAAAACCATTCAACCATTTAGAAAATGAAAAAGTTTATCGGAGGTTGAGGCCCTAGACAATCAAATTAGGCTGCAGTCAAAAATTTACTAGAAGTTTCAATGCCAAAATGCCTTCTAGTCGACTTTGAGATAGTTAATTTTCAAAATTTTTAAATATTTATAAATTTAAATTTTATAATAAAAAATTAAAATAAATTTTCAGGCCAACGTAAAGTTTTAGAGTTTTGGTGACAAAAAGATTCACGTCTTTGGACACTAATTGAAGGCGCACCTTACTTTCATATTGTAGGGCTTTTTAGCCTTATGCAGTCCATATACTTTATAAAAGTACGAATCTTTCTAGTTTATATTATTTATTTTATTTTATTTTTTCTAGTTGGTTTGATCATTTGATTACATTTAATAAGGTTGATTGAAATACCAAAAGCAGGTGGCCATATTTTTCCTTTGTTTTTGTCATTTCCTCCTGCCGGTATTTGTTCAACAACTTGTCGCTTTTTGACAGAATCGATGGTTCCAAATAAATTGATAATGTGAAAACAAGTAAAATAAAGAACCCCATCAGATAATGTGGCGTTTGGATAAAGTCATGTTATCTATTTCTAACATAATTAATGGCCCACTGAGGATATTTTAATGGCAAATGACTCTGTTGGACCCTGCCACAAATAGTGGCCGCAGACCCCATAGAAGCACTGTCAATCATAATTCAAATCTCGAGTTAAAAACCCAAGTTCCCGTACCTTTTGATTCGTTATTGCATTTTAACAACCCAATTACAAAAAAACACAATAAATTAATCATCTCAAGCTAGCCAGCCAAGAACAGAAGTAATATTGATTTTTCAAGCATTTGAATGTTTTTTTTTTTGTAGAAAAGAAAAACAATTTACGAAAACTAAAAAAAGAAACAAACACAAAAGAAAGAGACAATCAATCACAACGTAATGACATACATAGTTCAGTAATGTGTTTACGTCAATGGGAGATGAAAACTTCTTTATTGGTAATAAAGAATAGGGTTACAAAAAGCTCTCTTCCTCAGTCTTTCTGATTACTTAACAATATGTGTTTTTCCTTTTTTAACCCTAGATAAACTTCCAATTAAAACAACATATATCCGAGTTTTAAAATAGTACAAATTATCGAAATACTTTTGTACGAATATATATTAAGTTCCGGATATATCAAATCCCATGTACGGGTATATATTAAGTCTTAAATATATCGAATTCTCTTTTTAATTTTAGATAAACCTCCAATCGCAACAATATATATCAAATTTGAGATAGATGGTACAAATTATCGAAACACCTTTGTACGGATATATATCAAGTCCTAGATATATCTGGGCTTCAAGTTCCACAGGCCTTCGGCTCTTTGGGTTTTTAACGGCTCTCCAAAATCGTTTTTTTGACTCCACCTTAACAAATCTATTTTCTCATAATACAAGACATAAATCATCAACCCCTTCTTATGAGAGCTAGCCCTTGGGGGCTCAATTGGAGATGTAGGGGCCGACGTAGGAGTAGGAGATGGATCTTGAGCATTAGACTCAACAACAACAGAAAAGCACCCATGCTGGGAAGTGGCATGTATTAGGTGGTAAAAAATTAATGAGCATTGTTACTAAACCATTTAAATCAAACCAAACACACTTGAGCACCATTCCGTCAGGTACTTTTAATCCCCCAAATTCTATAGAAATGGGTTTTTTACGAGCCTTTAGTTGGAGAACCGGCATGTTGTTGACAATGAGATTGGATGCATGGTGAGCAAGAAGACCCAAAACAGGAGAAATGAAAAATGAAAGTATGGCCAGAAACCCTGCAATAATTGTTACTATCTTCTCAAAATTTCCTCCTCAGACATCCTTTCATGTTAAAACCAGCAAACATTGAGAAAAATTGGACCGCGTATTAGTCACTTACCCACGTAATATTCACATTTCCATGTCCAATCTCATAGTAGTAAGCCTTCAGTTCTAGTCAAGATGGATGTTTTGCTTCTTTCTCTTTCTACTGATAATACTTATTATTTACAGGGAGAATCCTCCAAAGCTAAATCCTGATTGTTCTTCCCCACCATTAACTCCTTTGTTGTCATTCGACAACAAAACAAGAGAGAGAGAGGTGTGCAGGGGAGCTGCTACCTAGGGGTTTCAACTGGGCCTTTGAGATCATTTCTTTAGAGAGAGACATGCAGGGGAGCTGCTGATAATGGGTTTCAACCGGGCCTTTGAGGCCATTTGTACGGTGAGTTTTGTTCCTATTTCTTTTGTGCTGGAAGGGAAATTAATTAGGAAAAAGTTTATCTAAGGATACTACTTTATAAGGTAGACCAACAGATGCTCCTCAAAAACTCCATTGGAAAAGGTAGTTTTAATATTAAAAACCCTTTGATATTATCTTAACATATATATGACTATAAAAAATAAAAATATTTGAAGGTTAAAAAATAGTGTATTTTATAACATATTATCTACACCGTTCATTTTCAAGATTTTCATAAGTTTATAGATCTACTTGATTTTAACTATTTTT